GGTCACTGCCCTGCTCCTGCTGGCCACACCAGTCCTGATACAAGCCAGGATGCCGTTGTCTCTCTTGGCCACCTGGGCACCCTGCTGGCTCATGTTCAGCCACCTGGTGACCAACACCCCCAGGTCCTTTTCTGCCGGGCACCTTTCCAGTCATTCTGCCCCACGCCTGTAGCGTTGCATGGGGTTGTTGTGACCCCAGTGCAGGACCCGGCCCTTGGCCTTGTTGAACCTCACCCAATTGGCCTAGGCACATGGATCCAGCCTGGCCAGGTCCCTCTGCAGAGCCTTCCTCCCCTCCAGCAGATCCACGCTCCTGCCCAGCTCAGTGTCATCTGCAAACTGACTGAGGGTGCCCTCGGTCCCCTCATCCAGGTTGTTGATAACGATGTTGAATAGCGCTGGCCCCAGAACTGATCCCTAGGGGACACCGCTTGTGCCTGGCCACCGACTGGATTTAACTCCGTTGACCACAACTCTCTGGGCTCGGCCATCCAGCCAGTTTTTTACCCAGCGAAGAGTGTGCCTGTCCAAGTCATGAGCCGCCAGCTTCTCTAGGAGATGCTGTGGGAAATGGTGTCAAAGGCTTTCTCCTCCAGTGGGCTAACAGCAGAGGCAAACAAGTCTCTAGTCCCCTTGTTTACTAAAGATTCAATTCTATAAAAATTCACTTGAATAAAAGTTCAAAGAACTGCTTGCACTTTACGACCATTATAGCCGCTCTTGGTGCCCCAGACCCTCCTCTACCCAGAAACAAGTGCTACCAGTAGCCAGAGCTCCCACCGACTCCAAAGCACATCTCACAGATGCTACAGGGGCACCCGCACTCTGTCACAGCTGTGAGGAAGCAGTCGCTCCCCTTTGTCTGCAGGGCCGGTACAACCATACACACTGCAGCTGGACAATGCTGACCCACGCTTCAAATAAAAACTCACTTCTGCTCACGTCTTTTTTCCTAGCCTCCCTGAGGACGGGATCGCCCCAGCATGGCCCTGAACACCAACGGGCTCTGCAATTTTACTGTAGATGTGCAAAGTTGTTTGGCTCCACGTGGAAGACTAGAATCCACGTCCAAGATGGTCGTTTCTCTGTCACTACAGTTCTCAGTCGTTTTAGCCTCCAGCTCGCCTCCTGTTGCATCAAAACATTGGCACAGCCTGTCACTGGCCCCCTCGCTAGCTCTGAAACTCCTGCCCAGTTTGTCAGAAGGGGATGAGGCCAAGTACAGGAGAGCCCCACCAGTTCCATGAGCAACAGCAACCGATAAGAAGAAAGTGACGCAGATTCACATCTGTGCCCCAAGGAAAAGCAGGGCAGAGTCCGCACCTTCTCCAGGCTGAGAAGCACAGCCAGCAAAGCGGGGAGCAGATGTCCCGCTCCGCCCATGCGCCCCAGCCATGTGAGGGATGCAGCAGAACCTGGGGTGCTGCAGGAGCTCAGAGCACCTGGGGCGGGGGGGAGGGCGGGAGCAGGTGGCACTGGCTGGGAGCATCATGGGACACAGGCACAGGGAAAAAAGATTTCACTGGCATTAAAACCACCGGGCAGTATGTGGCTGACGTTTTCACTCACGCTTGGAAGGTTTGCTGACAAATGCGAGCAAAACATGCAGGTCGAGCACACACATGGAATTTTGTAGAAACCGGGTCTCTTTCTGCATGTGAGACGGCAAGGCTAGGAGGGGCAAAGCGGACAGCAAACGGCTAAACTGCCACGCCACTGCTCTTCTGCCAGAACATACCCACGCCGCTGTCCTGGGGGAACTGCCACACGCCTGTCCTTGCTGCTGCCCCTTCCCTTCGGGCCTGGTGGGTCAGCCCTGGCTTCTTACAGGTTAGATGTCAGGGTTTGGCCGCACGAGGTACATTTTTTATTTAATCCTCTAAGAGTTTAATCCACAAGTCAGATTTACACCGAGGACTCTCGGCACGGACGCAGCCTGCGCTGTCTCCGGCTCCAGCCGGCGC